TTTGTGGTTTGAATACTTTCAGTGATGGCTGTGTTTTTTGTGATCCAAAAGGCTGAATCTATAGGTGCAATGCTAGAACAAAACTATTTTTCTCAGTTAGATACCTACTGAAAAACTTTGATTCCTGATTTTGTTTTCAGAACTGTGCGTTACTATCTGAGTTTCTTCAAGATGTGCTGATAAAGAAAGAGGAGTTGCCTACAAGACCAACAAATTGCGATGATTGTACAAGGAACAGGCTTTGTCAGGTCAATGAACAACCTCATGGACAATTTAAACAGAACTACATTTTTCAAAATCTTCAAAGTTTGTTTCCCACTGATACAAGCCCAAGTTCCTTGGGAGGTGATGTGGTAGGCTGTTTACTTTTCCACCACTCACAGCAAATGGCTTGCAATGTCCACGCTATTACAGCAATTGTGTCAACAAATGGGGACAAACCCAGGCAGCAAGTTGTAAGCAGGGAACAGAAGAGAATAGGGAGTGCTATTTATCCAACAGCATCCTTGTTGAACCATGCCTGTGATCCTGATGTCATAGTTAGGTGAGTGTTTAGGTTAGCAAGCTAGAGTCTTCTCTCATGTTTTATCGTTTTGTTGTGAGGTCAACACCTATAATGTGGTTAAATTCACTATGAAATCCCCTGGGGTAGAGCTTTCAGCCACAAAGTTGAAAGGGCTGTGGCTGAATCCTCACCTAGGATTCTGATTCTTGTATGTAATAATCTTAAATTGTGGTTAAAAGAAAACATTTTTCAAGGATATTGGGTTCTTGTTGGGAATTGTTACTTGGCTATTTTACCTTTTTTTTGTGTGTGTGTGTGTGTGCAATGTGCAAATTGTGAAAGCTCTGAGAAAAAGAGGGAAAAAATCAAAGGGTGTGAGGTCCACCAAGAACTGCTGTAATATCAACTGTTTGGTTGAATACAACACTCTTGTTGAGTAGAATAAATTTGGTGCAAATTAACACAAATACTTCTAACTTTATACTCCAGCTTTGTTGATGGCCATCTAGTGGTGAGGGCAACCCATAACATCTCCAAAGGCTCAGAGATTTCCCACTGCTATGGTGAGTTTTATCACAGAACCCACTGACTCTGTACACTGAAGTTGTTTTTGTCAAGTTTTTCTGAAGGATAGCATAAGTTATATATTTTCTTAACTTTGTTATTGAGCATTGATGTAGACAAACCTTCAATAACACTTTTTTTGTTGGTGTCCAGGCCCTCATGTTAGTCGCATGGGTTATGAAGATCGTCAAAAGCTTCTGTACAAACAGTACTTCTTTACTTGCCAGTGTACTGCGTGCAAGAGGTGAGCTATGAAGCTTGTTACCTTAGCAAATGTTTTTGCAGTATTGACATGTAAAACACTATTGCCTGTTGTTCAGTACAATATCTGTGTTCACTTTGAAAAATAACTCTGAAAGACATGGTTGAATAATTTAATGTTGTAATCATTTACTAATTAACCGTTTAAACCTTAAAAGTGACCAGCTTCTAATTTCTCCTCACAACATCAGCCCTGAATCACACATCAAGGTCATGAGAATGAAGTGAATGATCTCCAGCTTATGAAGCTGTTGATTGTTAAACAAATTCTCCTTGTCAGCACCCTAGGCAATGTACAGAGAACAGTATGGAGAATATGCATACTGATGTTAGGGTGTAAAGGGTTAATGTCAGCTCACTGGGAAGGTTTAAATCTGATTCTATACTTTTTTTTGTTGGTTTTAGTGATGAAGAAATGGAGAACAAAAGGTTATGCTTCTCGGCCTTTGCTTGTCCTCAGTGTAAACATGCCATGAGGCTTTCCTCGGTGGCCAGTGGGAACATTGGAACATGTCAGAACCGAGAGTGTAACTTGGAGAAGAATATGCTTGATGAGTGCAGATTGGCACGAGAGGCAGAACTACTCTTTGTTAAAGGGGTGCGGTTGTTAGAAAGAGTCGGAGTGAAAGAGGCTCTTGATGTATTTCATGAATGCCTGAGACGGCGTAAAACTCTGCTTCACGCTTATAATAAGGACTTGGCTGAGACGCACGATGCTATTGCAAGGTAAGATTTGTAAAAGTGGCTTCAATCGTCCTCAGGATCATGTTATGGAAATTTTGGGATGGAATGAAAATCTTTCATTTTGAGGGGCAGGGGTTTTAATTTTTCACCAGCATTGGGTATTATCCGCTACACTTGTATCCCTTCAGATATGAAAGAAGAGATGAGATTCTTCTTGAGGGTAGGTTTTTTATTAAGGCTTTAGGTAGAGGAGGTGGAAGAGAACCTGCCTACAAAGCATTTGAGTCGTAAGGGCTTCTAAGTTGTGGTATGAGTACAGACAGAATGGACCTGTCATTTATTGTCTCCTAGTTTTGATTTCCTTTATTTCCCTTGGTTTTTCCTCAGGTGTTATGCCATGATTGGAGACTTTAAAAAGGCATGCTACTACTGTTCCTACAGCTGTGAGGCAGTTGAAAAGGCATTTGGTTCTTCGAGTGTGGAATACGCTCACGAGCTTCACAAGCTTTCACAGCTCCTATTCAATGACCGGCAGATCAAGAAAGCACTCTCCACAATCGACAAGGCCACGAATCTCCTAACTCGGCATTACGGTCGGAGTAATCCAGATGTGAAGGAACTAAGCGAGATGAAACGTTGTCTTGTTTCCGTTGGTGGTTATGCAAGGAACAACAGTTCGTGACTTGGTAGTCACGCAATAATGCAACGTGACAGTCGAACTGTAGTTGCTATGACTAAAAAAATTGGTAGAGTTTTTGGAAATGTATGGGTTTTTCGTCATCTTTTTTTAAGCTTTCTTAGATGACTGTGTGATTTCTGTGATCCAATTGTGTGACTCGTATTACGTTTAGTGGTTATGTGGCAAGTCACACAATCCTTTTGGATACCAGTTTTCTGTTAAAACAAAAGTAAAAATATATTGAATGTAAAATGATTAACGGTTTGTATGAATTACTTTTTGTTATGAAAACATCTTTTATACTAAAAGTTTGGTGTTAAGTTATATAATGCGTTCTCTTCAGTGCAGGAGACATCGTTACAAAAAATTTTTTAAGTACTTGTTTTGTTTTAAAAACAACAAGTTTAAGTAAGTCTTTATTATGCGGAGTAACTCGAAGGAACACTATTTAAACGTCGAAAATAGAGAAGTGTAGTTATTATATTCATCAATTGCTCCAAGGCAAATTCTGACAAAATTTTTCCACCTTTAAGAAAGTCTTATTCCTGGGTTTGAACAAGTAAAGGCAATTTTGCAGCGGATTCTGTTATTGGGTGTCACTTGTGACGTATCAGGAGAATCGACTTCGTTTTGCTCCAAACGAATTGATTGAATAAAATTTCAAAACTGCGCTACTTGGGTCATTTTTTCTTCCATAATATTGCAAGTGATGTATTTGAATAGAAACAAAAATCACTCTTGACATCAATTTCTTCGGAAGAACAGTCATAGCATGGTAGTAATACAACAATGTGATACTGTCCACCACCCCCACTATAGTCGTATGGTCATGGTGTTATGTAAGGCGAATGCAAACCCAGTCCTTTTCAGGGCGACGACCGCGCACGATCGACAACTTAAAAATAGGTATTCAACACGTAACCTTTTAACACCTTTTATTTTAGGGTAGAGGTGTGAGAAAAAGCACTTCATATTGCAATAAAGAAGCTGATATGTAGCAGAAAAATGAACACAAAAACACCCTCAAGACGTAGCATCATCTTGTAATCAATATTACTTTGTAATAATTCGGGTTAAGTTACATGAGCATTGAGATGCGTGGCTAAAAAAGTGTCCAACTCCAAGCTCAGATTTTCAAACAGGGTCTTCACATTTTCTAAGTCTCAAATTTCACTGTTCGCCCACTCTTCTCCATGTTCCTTATTAGTACAATTCGCGCCGATCGAAAGCAGATCTTTCTAAATCACTCACCGCACGGGCTAAAGGCTAACTAATGGTTAATAACCGCTAGGCAGGTGGATACCAACTCAAGCAAGGTAAAAAGATTTTTTTATGTACGTGTAAATGCACTAGGCGTAAAATTTGAAGTAATACTCGGAGAATGTAGGACAGGTCTTTCCGGCTCCAAAAACACTTTTAACCAATACACAAACTGAGAGGTCGAACTGCCTATCAGGGAAATGATGTAGCTTAAGTCTTTGTTGTTGTGCTATTTTTTTAGTACCTCAAAATGGCAAGTGTAACTCTAAAACCTTACTTAGGAACTTGAGGTGAAGACAACTGATGTAATTCTAATTTGTGAAGCGCTTAACATTCAAGTGACCCTAGCATTTGGTAGTGTTGTGGGTAAAAAAAAAAAATCTTCATCCAAAACCCTTACAAATCTGAACCTCTTTCCACATCACCAATTACATTTTTACCAACAACTGCAGCAAAAAATGGAATGTTTCTAGACTCTTTGCCGGATATTTTGCGTTCACACAAAAACTTCCAAAAAAGTTTTCTACCGTTTGGTTACCTCTCATACCTGAGTAACTGACCCTAATAATCTTGGTGCTAACATCAAACCTAACCTTAAATCACGTTACCTCATTCCTGTTCTGCGATATAACTGGCTGACGCAAGATAAGCGCCATCATTTGCTTTGCAGTAGCCCTTTCCGCTTCTTATAGTAGCCTTAGAGCACTTTCACACGAACCATTTCCAGCTCGATGGGGTAATGAACGCTCAAATCGCCGCTTTAATGTGAACTCGTGTGACATGAGTAAAAATCTAACCGCAGGAAAACTACTAGAAATTATTGAAGTTGTCGACAGTTGCTACGATTGAAGTTGATTGCCGGTGAACTGCGAGACCAGCTTTCCCAAATATATCGGTAATGACAAATTTCTGTGACAAACACAATCAGCTTCATTCAATTACCCTCAAGAGTGCAAGAATATTTTTTAACAACCGCATCGGCTAAACTAGTAGGAATTTTCAAAAATAAGCTTGTGTAAACGCACGCCCAAAGAAGTTCACCCGCGGAGACAAACCCGTCAAAATCAGTCCATGTACTTTTACTGTGGTCTACTGGAACTTGTAGTCCTCTCAGGTAACAACACCTACTTTACCAATCATTATCTTGTTTGTAGCAGTACTTCTGCTAAACTTTGTTAGAGAATAACAAATATCCTACGATAACCTGTAATACAAAACTTTATTGACCTGTGGTAAGTGGATATAATCGCTGAGGGCCAACCGTGACAGATTACTCTTCAACGCAGTTAAATACTCTTTCATGCTCTTTCTCTTCATAATATTAAACGAACTTTTCTTAAATTAGTATATCTTTTGTGGAGACTATGACAGCCGACAAGTTTCTCATCGTAACTGACATGGTCTGAAAACCCGTAACGGTAACTCAATGGGAAGTGTTATCTACAGGTGCTACGCAGGGCGTGAGAGCTGACGCTAGACACTTAAAACAAAGCGCTGAATTGAAACCATTTCGCATTCGAGGGTTTTATGAAGAGGCCTCTATTCTCCTAACCTAAACGGGCCAGATTTTCAATATAAGTCTTTTCACGCCTTTCTGTCTTGAACAGCAAAATATTTTCCGACTAACGTTATACGAACTGGTTTTGTTTGGTCTACAACATGCAAAATGGCGTCTGGGACACGAGGAGATTGCGGTGTCGCAAACATGATGTTGTCGCCAAAGCAATCAGTGGGAAGGTAGAGGAAAAAAATCTTCTCAGTTTAAACGGACTAGAAAATACACAAAAATACACTCAGGAATTTATGGGGAAATAAATCGATTTTGGGAGGGAAAATGTAACAAACGCCGAACGGTTTTGAATATGTGTCATTCAGTCCATATGTTAACGAAAAAAAGAAAACCATTTGACGTGTCGACCAAAAAGTGAAAGGAAATCTTAATTTCTGTGGTGATACTGAGTTCTGTCAAAACCTCAGACTCGAATTTCAGATTGTGGCTCAGAAAATCGATCTCAGATTGTTTACTCACTGATTCCCGATCTCCTCTCCTAAATTTATTCTACCGCAGATGACTTCCAGGTGTGTCTCTCAATGTCAAGAATAGAATGACACCTCACTGTCTGTTGCTCACAGGCAGATATTTTGGACTCACACGCGGACTCCTAAGATGGCGGTGGACAATGGTTACAATGATTGTTTTGTACTCTTTTAACTTGCTTCATCCTTTGGTTCAAGACGACATGGTGATTTCTACTGGAGGGTCTGTTTGTGATATGTTTGGGAATCATAAGATTCAGTTGCGTCTAGCAGTAGCCATTTCACCGCACATCCGAAAAATCAGAGGGATCCTATTATCCATTGAAAATTTTTTGGGATATTTAAGAATTATTATTATCATTATTATTATTTATTTATAATAAATTGAACAAGAACTTGTTTGATCCCAATGAATTTATCATTAAGCTATAAAAGGTTGAATCAAGTTAGTCGATCGAAATAAAAAGAACAAGGGGGTAAGTTTCTAAAGAAACTGCGGTGCTGCGTCTGTGGGAGAGTATAACAGGGTAATTTGGTGTTAACAACTAAGTTGAGAACGTAAATTAGTCACCGTAAAGAGTTTAAAGGCTGACGTTTCGAGCGTTAGCCCTTCGTCAGAGTGATTGACGAAGGGCCTACGTCAGCTAACGTCAAATATCAGCGCTCTGACGAAGGGCTAACACTCGAAACGTCAGCCTTTAAACTCTTTACGGCGGCTAATTTACGAAGTGAAAAGAGCCACCTTAAGGAATACATTAGCTTTCCTATTCAGACTACACTTCGCAGTCGGTGACGGGAACACCGCATAAATATCAGTATCTGAGCAACTGCGCACCTACCCCTCCCCTGACCCAACATTAATCCTAAAATGTTACTAGTTGACCGTTGTTAGGGGAGGGGTAAGGGGAGAGGTAAGAGCGTAGTTGCCCAGATGCTGACGTTGATCTGGCACCTCTATCCTCTCTCTCTGAACACTTTGATCAGCGATTACACGATAATGACATTGATTTTGATGATGAATGTAAATCAGTATTTTTACCTCTCTTATTGCTATTGCAGAGATTTTGAAGAAAATGCCCTTTCCCCCAAAACTGTCATGCTTAAGCAGAAGAAGAGGACAAAGCCTCAACTTTATGAAAGGAGACAACATGAGGTGACTAATTTGTTGAGCCCGCATGTCGTGGAGAGCGGTTCCCTATCCCTTCGTGGCTGGTGGATGTCACATGTCAAGTGGGAAGTCATAGACTTGAAACGAAAGTCAAGACCTGATGTCAAACAGGCAAGTCTGCATTCATTCTCTTCATACAACCACTACCAATTTGCGTATTTCCTGATCGTTTAAAGAGCAATGACGTCACAGACAAAATGGCGATTGTTGTGCGACCTCGTTCCCAAGGTCTTCGGGGAACGGTGGCTAGTTTTGGTAATCAACTCATTTGATAACACTAAATTACCCTGTTATACCGTTGACCCGGCACTGCAGTTTCTTTAAAAACTTACCCCCATTATTCATTGGGAACGAGGTTGGTTGTTGCAACCTTGAAAATTTTTCTCAGGAAAACGGAGACCAAAATTTATTCTTTACAAACGATTTGCTTTATTCAGCATGTTATAACTGGAACAAAGGACTGTTTGACACAGTCTACTACCCGGATGAAAACTGCCTTTATCTGTGTTCTACACTCAAATATCAGTTCTTGTTCATACCGACGTAGTAAGGGACCTAAATATTTTCAAGGTATTTTAGCCTGATGAAGGTCTAACGATACATACCAAAATAATTACTTCACGCTTTGTAAATCTTTCCGTATTTGTTGTCTCGTTGATTTAACATAACGAACTCACTCATACTATTCCTAGAAATACCGCTTCGGCAATTTTCCATACTATCAACCTTTCCACATCGAAAATCTGTGCGACACCCCTAGATTTCTTTTTGCATATCGATAGCCCTTGATGACACATTTTATGCTTGCATAGTCATTGGCGGGAAAATCAAGATCCTAATTGCCAGGTACCGTCTTAAACGGCAATAAAGAGAGCTGTGAAAGAAAAGGTATTAATTTTCTCTCAAAGGTGTTCAGTGTTCCTTGTCAAATACACAGGATCGTGGAGACGTACCAATATCTCTCTGTAAGTTTTTCTTTCTTAGTCATATTATTGCTTACAGGGATAAAAAAGAAATCAAAGGAACAGATAAAAAAACAAAAAAGGAACTCTGCAAGCATATAGAGATATAAATAACTGGATGAAAAAGAAACTATTCTCCTGCTGTGACTGAGTCTAAAAAGTTGAAAATAAAGTAGGAGTAGAAACGGTTTTTTCCTTCCCCCCCTCCCCCCTCATAGTAGGGATACAAGCCTTGTATCCCGACTATTTATGAAAGTGGGGGGGGGGGGGGGGGGGGGGGCGGTAATTCGAGGGGGCACCTATTTCTAAGGATTGGGCGCTTATTTGTATCAGTGCGTGGATGCTTATTCGTGGAGATACGATATCGACTTGGGCACATAACAAGATTTAACACCAAGTATATAGAATATATATACAATCACCTTCTCAGAGTTTTTGTTTATGAGGGAAAATAGGGGTGGGGTGGGGGGTAGGGGGCTTATAAGACAGGAGAGTTCATAATTGGAGTATTCATTTTATTTGCCCTGGGGTGAAGTACTTTACATGGAGGTACTGTATCGTATATATCAAATTATTTTAATCTAAAAGCAACATTTGAATTCCTTATTTGCATCGGGCTATCCAATATACCACCGTTTTATTAGTTGGAGTTTTCAGTTGTAACTCTCAAATGCTTTTCCTTAGTTAAACAGCAGTATTCCAATCAAAGGAATAAAGTTCCAAGTGACGTCGGCTTCTTGGAAGATGGAGAGGCCTACAGATGGTTTTTTGGGGGTCAGTTACTTATTCTATTTATGTTTTTTAAGATGTTGGTGGAAAAAAACTGCTATGGGATTTTCACGGGAGTTTGTGATAATTTTGACTGGCTTAATAAGTAGTGAGAATTTTTTCAAACAAACTAGAAGGCACGAGGAAGCAAGCTCATTATCTGATTCTTTCAACACAGATCGGATATTTTTCGAAAGCCCTGCTAGTCTAAGGTTGCATTATCAGGGGGAGAAAGATGGTCACTGGGATTGTTTCGTCTTTACAAGATTAATACAGTATTTTTGTTTGAATGGGAATCTAAGAGTATCTCAGTTTCTTGTTTCACAGAGCTATAAACCATTCTATGGTGCACGAGTATTTGTGGTATTATCAAGTGGAAAACGAAAACTGTTAAAGTGAGTGGTTAGCTAAAATATGCCGAAAATAAAATCACTGTGTTACAATTCA